TTGAGAAGCTGCATAGAGATAGGCAGGAATAGACTTTGATCAGCCACATAAACACACAGATAAGGGGCATTTCAGTCTTACAAATATATTAGTTTGATGACTTAACATCAAGGCTTCCATCTTTGAGAAGTGCTCATGTGAGGCCTGAGTGAACATGCTTAGCTGTACGGTTGATAAGCTTCATATTGGCTGTCAAATAGAAATGTCAACTAGTTGAGGCTTCAAAAATTCGCTTGCCATCCAGAAAGCAGTACATTAAGCTCGTGCAGCTGTGGTGACTTCCTTCCACTTTATTTTAGATTTGACATAATTATTCACCGAGAAATAATTGGCACCTACTCTCATCCATTGACAAGGGAAGTGGTGGCTGATGAGAAAGGTAATATGACAATCCTAGTTGTAGATAGTATTGTCTACATAAAAAAGGCCCCTGTAAAACATCTGACGATCGTGTCTACGCACTGATACATAATATTCATTATGAAACCGCTACTTGTTGGCGGAAGAAATAACGATGCTAAAGTGATTCTTTATATACTTGAATGTTGAAAACAGCTAGGTTGGATGAAATCACATAGTGTTGCTGTTATAAACAACTGTTTTAGACATGCGCTCGAGGTTACGCATGGCGTTAGATTTAAAATAATATAGTTCTCATGTTTCCTCTCTCAAGGGTACAAGCTATACACAGGTAAGAACTCCAATCTACGAAAATTGTTTACCAAAGTGCGCTGATAGCCGAAGTTGTCAATAACCATATCAAGTATTGGAATTTACTGGATATGGTTTTGAATAACTAACTTATTCCAAACTGTTATCGTCCTAATCTTAGGCAAAATACAGGTTGTTACTCTAATATCATGCGAGTTCTCAGACGTTCCTTTCCTAAAGAAAATGATCTCAAGAGACAACATCCTTTCCTGCAGCCTTACATGAAGTAGCATCCATTATAAATGACGCGAACTGTGTACATTGATGGAATATGTGTAACGCAGTTGAATTTGATAACAATTTAAAAGTTTACTTCTGCCAAGGTAAATGCTGTATTACGACAATGTTCATTGTATTTACGTTCTGTTAAATGATTTTAACAAGTTTAGTTAAAATTGTAGCAATCCATTTTGCCCATCTTACATTACTTGATTTTTTAAACTTCTTTTGTCAACCTGTCCTGTGCCAACCACGGGTATCGAAACACGGTTTTTAGCGTTATGAGCTTCAGACTTACAGATGAGCCACTAGGGGAGAGAAGCGGCAGGGTGAAGGATTGCCAAATTTAGAATAAGAAAGAGGATTAGTTTAATGCAGCCCAAAAGCTAATTATCTTACTTTCTTGGATTAAAACCATCTTAAAATCTCAAATCACAAAAAAAGTTACCTTGGAACAAAAATATTGTTGCGTCATCGAGTCACATGACTACTGTGACGCAACGTTTCTAGAACTATCATGTACTTTGGCGAATGTTCTAGTTCTTACTAGATATAGGGTAGGCTGGTATATAAAAGAGGGGAATGTAATGCGTGTGGATAGTCAGTGTGTAATTGATCTGCGGTCAGAAGTATTATTGACGTTCGTTGATATAGCGCGATTGTTGAAGTTGAGTGTATCGGTAAAGTTGTATTCGGAAAGAATAAACCAGTTTTTATTAAGAAAGGAGTTGTGTCGCTTAAGTTTCGTCGGAACGAAGTTACGGAAAGTTAATTAACAAACGGAGACGTAACAATATTATCTGGTTATACTAATTCAACATACATTCCATGTAAAA